CCAGGTGAACGACATACAAAACAAAACAAGTGTCGGGGTCTAATCACCGGCAGCTAAAGAGGTTCAGCTACCATGGCTGTGGGCTTTCAACCAGATTTAAAAAGCTTCTACCCGCAGTGTCTCGTAAAAAAACCCCCAACTTCTTCTTTCTTTCTTCAACTTTTCAAACACAGGCAACCCAGCACCAATTGGACGGGTGCTACCAACAATTGGTAGCACCCATCCAAGTGCTACCAACCTGGCTGAGTTGGGGCGACGGCAGACTACTGGCCAATGATTGGCCAGTAGTCTCACATGACATAAATTGACTTAACTCATTGACTGCCAGAGTTTTTGGAGCATTTTGACTGATTTTTCAATAGCCACAGAATAGTTTGTGCTATGACTATGTAAACACTGAACACACCAAAAGAAAGAGTAGACTCTCTTCTTTCATCAGGAAAAAAAATGTGTTTCTACCTTATTCCGTTCTTCCTGGACTTGCGTCTCACCGGCGACATGTTCTCTCATAGCGAACCGTTACCTTTTTCTTATTTGCCTACAGTCTATGCTCATCTCCCATCAAAAGTGGCACTGCCACCTAGAGGGTCAATTTGTTACTACATACTCTGTCTAGAAGCCGATATTTACGGACAAGCTTTAGCAGATCGTCCCCCAGCCACTCTCGTTGAAAAACATAAAATACGTCTATAGATGTCTTTGGCAGCCAATGATTTAATCTGTTAGCAGCTCATTTCTAATGAAAAACCACCTAAACTGAGCCGAGCCTTGCTGGCTACCTGACAAACCCCCCAGCTTGCTATGGGTATCTCATTTTTTGTCCTTTGAACCAGTGAAGGCAGGTACCGATCTACTGTTCCTCTGTTTTTTTTCTGGAAGTATCCACCTGTTGAAGGGGAGTTTTAGTGTTGGTCTGACAGAATTACACTTGCTATAGGACTAAAATGGAGCTATAGAGCCCGCAGGCAGTGGGGTGTTACGGTTTTGTCAGGTTCTACTGCATCAGGGTGCTTCAGGACATGTTTCCAAAAGGGTGTTCCACTCAATCTCCTGCAGAACTTTGAATCACCACGGGTGTTAATGTGGGGAGCTGTGTCATCTTCCAGACTTGTCATTTTTTCTTCATCAGTTCACCCTCGCTGATGGCAGTTTTCAGAGCTACCAGTAAGCTGCTGCAGGCTGGTTGCCATAGCGACAGCAGTCTGTCAGTCAGGAAGGGGAACAGACGACGGTTTCTGATCTGACTCCGTTTTCATCTGTGAAACGCATCAGGAGGAGGCGGGGCTTCTAAGCCCACCACCTACAGCAATGCATGCTGGGAGCACACCCCATGTCAACATTCCACTGCCCCACTCTCTATCTCTCTCTCATCCCACCATCAGTCAGACTCCTCATCTTTTTCATTTCCACTGATTCACCCCCACCCCAACAGAGAGCGGTATATGAATTGTGGGTAATAAATCCAGCACACTGCAGGATTTGGTAATAAACTCTGTGAACTGAACTTTGATAATAATCAGCCTCCAGACGAGAGAAGGTTAAAGGAAAATCTGGATCTCAACTTGAAAAAAGTACAAACTGGAAAAGCGCAGCTATATTATAGAAATGTGACTGACACATGTATGATAGGGCACTGAATGACGGCGTTCTGTTAGAGAATAGAACACCGGCATCATTTCAGGTAATCATCTAATGGTCCAAAGGTCAGGGCGGAAACTAAGTGGCGGGGAGGATATTTACCTTTCACAACGGAAACTCAGAGCTGGAGGGTAACTGGGACCAAATGTATCCGGGGAAAGTGTATTTTTCTTAGCATTATATGACAAAGAGAAAAGAAAAAAGGAATAAGAAAGAAAGAAAAGGAGAAATGTGAATCAACCTACTCTGCATAAATGCTATGGTTTGCTCTCCCTATACAACAGGACTAAATATATATATATTGCAACAAGCTGAATGCCTTCACACAGCATCTTTCATTTAAATTTGTTCTCTTTTTGATTTGCAGTTGAACTACTATTTTGTGCTGGAACCCGTCTAGTTTCTCCAGCAGAATCAACGGGACCCTTCAGGTAACCTGCACGCCTTTCTATAGGTCACCATATACAACAGAACCAAGATACCAAACGCTCACGGAGGTTGCAGAACCTGCCCGAACTCGTCTCACATGTTGTGATGTTGAGGACTTACTATGTCGCACAAATGTACGCGCTAGGCATGGCAAGATTCACCGATGCGTATCGGAACATCGGAACGACCTGTGCGATACGGTTGCATCGATTTGCAAACGTCTGCATCGGTAAAAACCGCACATAAACCCGAGATGCATCGTATAAAACTACCTGCATCGATACAAACCGATTATTATCTTCTATTATTATAACTTTTTAGAAACGTGTCTTTGAGTTTTAGTTGCGTTTCTTTCCATCCCTGTTTCCATTCAGAGAGACAATCACTCTCTAAGTTGCACTTCCTTTGTTTCAAAATAAAAGGCACAGTTAGCTTGCGTGCCATAACTTGAACTATGTAGTCCATGGTGTACTTTTCTTCTGCATTGCATCGCATCGTATTGTATCGTATCGCACTGTATCGCAGCATTTTAAATTTAGATCGTTCTGTATCGCACCGGATCGCAGGAGGTTGGAGAATCGTATCGAATCTTATCACTAGAAATTCCATGAATCGTGAATGTATCGAATCGTTGGCTGTGTATCGAGATGTGTATCGTATCGCCTTGGTGGTGAAGATTCCCATCCCTAGTGAGCACCAGACCACGGAGGTTCACACTCGATTTTATTCCCAGTGGCCAAATCGGAGGCTCTAGCAAGTTCAGTCCAGAGAGGAGGTTCTGACCGATGTTCAAAGTTCTGCCTCAGGAAGAGCAGACAGTTTTCTTCCCGGTTGTCTGACAATGACCAGATCCAGTCCACATGGGTTTTGTGGACTTGGACAAGGCTCTTGATCGAGTTCCCAGAGCTATCCGGTCCCTGTTTGACCACAGGAAGGACCTTTGTCTTCTGTGGCAGGCCCTGGTTCAGATCCGCTTTGCTGGTGTGGAAAGGAGGGCATTTGGTTTGCAAACCTCAGGGTCATCAGCTTCTGCAGGAGGATGTGTTTCTGTTAGCTTCTTCTGGAGCAGTTAGGGTCACGGATAAAAGGTCTGTCAGTCTTAGACTGAGGAGTTCAACCAAAATGTGTCTCTGGACCTTGTTCCCAGTAATGGTCCCCCAAGGTTCAGTGCTTGGGCCCCATCTCTTGACCATATACACCAGCTCTTATGTCTAATCATCCACTCACTTGGCTTCAGGCATAATTTCTACGCAGATGATACCTAGCTCTATCTGTTACTTCCACCTGAGGACCCATCGGTGGAGATGGAGCCATTGCATCACTGACTACAGCAGCAGTACTTCTCTTTTCTCCTCCACAGCGAACAGATCAGCAAGCGCCAGTCGCAGATGGACCGGCTGTACGTGTCTCTGAAGGACCTGGTGGAGGAGAGGAAGAGCCGGCTGGAGCAGCAGTACTGGCTCTACCAGCTCAACAGGGAGGTGGACGAGCTGGAGCAGTGGATCGCTCAGAGGGAAGTGGTGGCCAGCTCGCCCGAACTGGGCCAAGACTACGAGCACGTCACAGTAAGTGTGCTGAGAGGCGTCACCTTCAGCTGATTCCCACCAATTCCAACTGATTTCCACTGATTTAAGTTGATTACTACTGATTTCCACTGGTTCCTTACCGATTTAAGACGATTCTCACTGATTCCACCTGATTTTCACTGTTCCCCACTGATTTAAGATTATTCCCCACTGATTCAAGACGATTCTCAATGATTCAACCCGATTCCACCAATTCCACCTGATTCCCACTGATTCCCCACTGATTTAAGATGATTCCCCCTTGATTTAAGACGATTCTCACTGATTCCACCTGATTTCCACTGATTCCCCACTGATTTGTACTGATTTCAGCTGATTCCCACCAATTCCACCAGATTCAAGACTGATTTAAGATTATTCCCCCCTGATTCAAGACTATTCT